TTTTTCTTTTTCTTTTTCTTTTTCTTTTTCTTTTTCTTTTTCTTTTTCTTTTTCTTTTTTCCCTTTTCCTTTCTCTTTTTCTTTCTTTCTCTTTTCCTTCTTTTTCTTTCCCTCTTTCTCTCTTTCTCTTTCTCTTTCTCTTTCTCTTTCTCTGTCTCTGTCTCTGTCTCTTTCTTTCTCTTTCTCTTTCTCTTTCTCTTTCTCTTTTTCTTTCCTTTTCTTTCCCTTTTTCTTTTTCTTTCTCTTTCTTTCTTTTTCTTTCCCTCTTTCTCTTTCCCTCTTTCCCTTTCTCTCGTTGTCTCTTGTTCTCTTTTTCTCATTCTTTCTTTCTCTCATTCCCTTCCCTCTTTCTCTCTTTGTCTCTTTCTCTCATTCCCTCATTCCCGCGTTCTCTGTTCTCTCATTCCTTCACTCTCCCTCTTCCTCTTTCTTTCCCTCTTTCCTTCTTTCTCACTTTCTCCTTCTCTCTCCTCTCCTTCTCTCTTTCTCGTTCTTTCTTTCTCTCTTTCTCTCTCTCTTTCTCTTTCTCTTTCTCTTTCTCTTTCTCTTTCTCTTTCTCTTTCTCCTTTCTCCTTTCTCCTTTCTCTCTTTCTCTCTTTCTCTCTTTCTTTCTCTTTCTCTTTCTCTTTCTCTCTCTTTCTCTCTCTTTCTCTCTCTTTCTCTCTCTTTCTCTCTCTTTCTCTCTCTTTCTCTCTCTTTCTCTCTTTCTCCTTTCTCTCTCTCTCTCTCTCTCTCTCTCTCTCTCTTTCTCTTTCTCTTTCTCTTTCTCTTTCTTTCTCTCTTTCTCTCTCTTTCTCTCTCTTTCTGTCTTCCTCTCCCTCTTCATGTTTCTCTTTCTCTTGTTCTCTTTCTCTTACTCTTTCATTCTTTCTCTTTCCCTCTTTCACTTTCCCTCTTTTTCTCCCTCTTTCTCTTTCTCTCTCTTTCCCTCTCTTTCTGTTTCTTTCTTTCTTTCTTGTTCTCTTTCCATCTTTCCCTCTTTCTCTCTCATTCTTTCCCTCTCTCTTTTGTCTTTCTTTCTTTTTCTTTCTTGTTTTCTTTCTTGTTCTCTTTCTTGTTCTCTTTCTCTTGTTCTCTTACTCTTTTGTTCTTTCATTTTCCCTCTTTTTCTCCCTTTCCCTCTTTCTCTCTCTCTCTCTCTCTCTTTCTCTTTCTTTCTCCTTGGTCTCTTTCTCTCTTTCTTGTTCTTTTTCTTTCTTTCCCTCTTTCTCTCTTTCTCTCTTCCTCTTCCTCTTTTCTCTTCCTCTTCCTCTTTCTCTTTTTCTCTTTTTCTCTTTTTCTCTTTTTCTCTTTTTCTCTTTTTCTCTTTTTCTCTTTTTCTCTTTTTCTCTTTTTCTCTTCTCTTTCCCTCTTTCTCTCTTTCCCTCTTTCCCTCTTTCTCTCTCTCTCGCCTCTTTTTCTCTTTCTTATTCTCTTTCTCTCTTTCTCTCTTGTTCTTTCTCTCTCTCTCTTTCTCTTTTGTCTCTTTCCCTCTCTTTCCTTCTCTTTCCCTATCTTTCCATCTCCTCTCTCCCTCTCTTCCACTCTCTTTCTTTTCTCTTTCTTCCTTCTTTCTTTTTCTCCTTCTTTCTCTCTCCTTCTCTCTCTCCTTCTCTCTCTCCTTCTCTTTCTCCTTCTCTTTCTCCTTCTCTTTCTCCTTCTCTTTCTCCTTCTCTTTCTCTCCCTTTTTCTCTTCTTCTTTCTCTTCTGTCTCTCTTTCCCTTTCTCTTTCCCTCTTTCTCTGTCTTTTTCTTTCTCCTTCTTTCTTTCTCTCTCTCTCTTTCTCTTTCTCTCTTTCTCTTTCTCTCTTTGTCTTTCTCTCTTTGTCTTTCTCTCTTTCTCTCTCTCTTTCTTTCTCTTTCTCTCTTTCTCTTTCTCTTTCTTTTTCTCTTCCTCTTTCTCTTGTTTTTTTTCTTGTTCTCTTTCTCATTCTCTTTCTCTTGTTCTTTTTCTCATTCTCTTTCTTTCTCTTGTTCTCTTCCCTCTTTCTCACTCTTTCTCTCTTTCTCTTTTTCTCTCTTTCTCTTTCTCTTTTCTTCTTTCTCCCTCTTTCTCTCCCTCTTTCTCTCCCTCTTTCTCCCTTTCTTTCTCTTTCATGTTCTTTTTCTTGTTCTTTCTTGTTCTCTTTTTCTCACTCCCTTTTTCTTTCTCTCTCTGTCTTTTTCTCTTTCCCTCTCTTTCCCTATCTTTCCCTGCCTTTCCCTCTCCCTCTCTCCACCTCTCCTCCTTTCTTCCTCTTCCCCTTCCCCCTCTTCCCCTCTTTCTCTCCCTCTTTCTCTCCTTCTTTCTCTCCCTCTTTTTCTTCCTCTCCCTCTTTCTCTCCCCCTTTCTCTCCCTCTTTCCCTCTTTTTCTTTCCCTCTTTCTCTTTCCCCTTTTTTCTCTCTCTTTCTCTTTCCTTCTTATTCTCTCTTGTTCTCTCTTTCTTGTTCTTTCTCTTTCCCTCTTTCCCTCCTTCCCTCTTTCTCTTTCCTTCTTTCTCTTTCTCTCTCTTTCTCTTTCTCTTTCTCTCTCTTTCTCTCTCTTTGTCTCTCTTTGTCTCTCTTTCTCTCTCTCTTTCTCTCTCTCTTTCTCTCTCTCTTACTCTTTCTCTTTCTCTCTTTCTTTCTCTTTCTTTCTTTCTCTCTCTCTTTCTCTCTCTCTCTTTCTCTCTTTCTCTTTCTCTTTCTCTTTCTCTTTCTCTTTCTCTTTCTCTTTCTCTTTCTCTTTCTCTTTCTCTTTCTCTTTCTCTTTCTCTCTCTTTTTCTCTTTCTCTTTCTCTTTCTCTTTCTCTTTCTCTCTCTCTCTTTTTCTCTTTCTCTTTCTCTTTCTCTTTCTCTTTCTCTTTCTCTTTCTCTTTCTCTTTCTCTTTCTCTTTCTCTTTCTCTTCCTCTCTTTCTCTCTTTCTCTCTTTCTCTCTTTCTCTCCTTCTCGTTCCCCTTCTCTTTCTCTCACTTTCCCTTTCTCTCGCTTTCTTTTTCTCTTTCCCTTTTCCTTTTCTCTCTCTCTTTCTCTCCTTCTCTCTCTCCTTCCCTCTTTCACTCGCTCTCGCGTGCTCTCTTTCACTCTCTCTCTTTCTTTCTATTTCACTTTCTCTTTTTCTCCTTCTCCTTCTCCTTTTTTTCTCTTTTCCTTTCCCTCTCTTTCCCTTTTCCTTTTCTTTCCCTTTCTTTCCCTTTCTTTCTCTCTTTCTCTTTCTCTTTCTCTCTCCCTCTTTCTCTTTCTCTCTCCCTCTTTCTTTCTCTCTTTCTTTCTGTTTCTCCCTCCCTTTCTCTCCCCCTTTCTCTCCCCCTTTCTCTCCCCCTTTCTCTCCCCCTTTCTCTCCCCCTTTCTCTCCCCCTTTCTCTCCCCCTTTCTCTC